GCTTCATATTCATAGAGAGGATCTATGAATCTGTAAGGTTTAATGTCATCTATTATCATGAATGAATGAATGAACAACTAATCAATCTCATAGAATATAAATGTAAAGATTCCTTGAAGTTAGTCATTTCACTCTGTAAAGAAAATGAACTTCAACCGATGAATAAAATTCTTTTGAAAAATACATTTTAAAGCCCTTAAATTATATATATTTTCTTTTGTTTAGATCTATGTTCGTGCAATGTTTGATTATAGTCCTGAAAATGATGATTTAATACCATGTAGTCAAGCTGGTATACATTTTCATGTTGGAGATATATTACAAATTATTAGTAAAGATGATCATAATTGGTGGCAAGTAAGAAATAGATATTCATTATAATCATTTATCATATACTCATTTAAAATGAAAGCACTGGAAGTCCGTTTCGTTCTATTGTGGGACTCCTCAGCAGTGCGCAAACCAGTAGGTCCTGGGTTCAAATCCCGAGATCGTGGATGCGCACTGCCCAGGAATGTCACAATAGGACGGAACGACCATCCAGTGCTTCCAGGTTTTCCATGGTGGTCTGGCTTCAACTGAATCATGATCTTAACCTTTGAAATTACTATGATATCCACAAAACTCATGTGATATAAATCAATAATAATCTGTAATTAAAGATCTTAGACATGAATGTGAACAATGTTGAGGTTGAACTCAGTGTACTTGGGAAAAATGAAAAAAATCTGTTTAGGAAGCTGTCACACTCCACCTACTGAAATGGTTAACACATATATATTATGTTTCTCTAATCAAAATCTATCTCGATATACGATATTTCTTAGTGTAGACACAGGTCGGAAGAAAGCTGGGGACGGTCAAATTCAAACGAAGAATCAGTTCATGAAGCCATGAATATGATTGTGTTCACATTTCTTTAATTCTGACATTGTATCTTGTTAAATTCTTTTCTTGTTATGTCAGTCTAATGTGTAGACAACATATAGACTAATACATTTATCTACCATATCTTACAATGCTAATATGTGTATCTGTCATTAAATTTATCATATAATTTAACTGTTTTTAATGATACTAAGGAAACCTTTTATATATTCTTTGTTAGTGATTGAATCTATGACTAATATTTTTCTTAACAGTTGTATTCACGAGTTGAACTTAGCTAGACCTAGAAGTACTGGACGGCCTTTTCGTCCCAGTATGAGACTCTTAACCAGTGCTCATCCACAATGCCGCACGCGAGAACCGTGCCCAGGACCTTCAGTCTCGCGCGCGTACACTTAACCTGCAGGCCACCGATCCAACATCTAAAGGTGTTATTGTCTATCATCAATCGATCTCACAACCGACACAGTTTATCCTTCAATGATGATCTAGTTTAGAACAACTCGTGAATTCAACTATCAAAATACTACAATCTCTACAAATCCCCATACTAACAATATATGTTTCTATATTTGAAGAATGTGTAGATACCTTTTATTCTATGGATTTATGTTCATTGAAAATAGGTTCATTATGATTATTTGTATAATTAAATTGTGTTTTACAATGAAAATCCTAAACACTTGTTTCATTCTATTTGAAAGATTTGTCATCTCAATGTATTTGTGACCTCAATGTTAATATAGTCAGATTGATAGTTTAAACCCCGGTACTTATTTCTTCAGATTCTACCATTGAGCTATTGATTCATAGTACTCACTCATTTGTTTAATGGATATAAATGTGTTGATAAAACTTTATGCTATTCCATCTTTTTGATATTTTGTACTGGAATTGTCCGGTTCCTGTTGAGATTGATTTACTTTATTTGAAAGCTTCGATTTAACTTGCGAATTACTAGCTTATAGTGTGTTTAGATTATTGTTGGCAGTAAGGTAATACAAACCCCTACCAATAGTTATAGAGCTATTAAATTTAGACAGACGATCAGTAATTTGTCTATCATATCACCCTTAAATGCTTTGGTACGGCCGAGAGTGGGGAGAGTCAGTTCTCCATCGAAATGCTCTCACATGGCCACGTGCATGCAACTACTGACAGGGAAGTCCTACTCACTGCCTTCTCGCGGCCACACTGTTAGTTACGAAATTAAAAGGACGAAAAGCGAACATCCGGCGCTTGAACCGGGTCAGTGGACAAGGATTGTCCATGTAGGGAAGTTGGAAAACCCAGATTCCAAACCAATGGTGCACATGGGCTCCAGTATCCTGAGGGAACAAATGGTGGTCACTGACTACCATGAGACTGCATCTCCTGACGTTGCTGCACTGACTTGTGGATCAGATGTTTAGGTCAAAAGCTCCGGGTGTGTCTCCCCGAGTAAACCACCTGGTTCGATTTGGGCAACCGGGCAGTTTCACAGCCCTCACACAAATTGAATGATTTATGTGATGTATATCTATTTAATGCTTCCTTGTACCAATGTTTATGTGTTTAAATAATAAATAATAATAATAATAATGTCTATCATATCATTTGGTTTTATTAATTAAAATGTTCAGTGTGGAGCTACTAAGCCAAGTTACAGAGACTCTATACTACTACATTGTATTGATTGTCGAGTAGTTTACAAAATTGGATCAGTTAATAAAATTTTGGAAGCTGTTTTAGATAATCATGTTTCTTGTATAAACATTGTAACTTAATTTCATTCGCCCACATTGATAATTCAATCCATTTGATATTGTCGTTGAGAATAATCATCTTTTTGTTTTTTTGAAAGTTTTTTTAACCAAAATTTTAATTTAAACTTTAATTTTTAAAATAGGGGAAATTTTCCAAAAAAGTTTTAAGGAATTTGAACGTTCGAATTACTTCTCAATTCCTTGTGTATAGTTTGCAAATAAATCCCAACAAGTACAAAACGTAGGTCATAGTCTACAGAAATCTCATTGAAAACCTTTCGTGATTTGTGACGTTATAAGAGAATAGGCAAGTACTACCATCGTACACATTTAATTGTTGTTGAGAAAAAGGGATTAGAACTATAGAAAGATGAAAAGTTGTACGTTTTGATTTTGAACGTAAATTATTTTGAAAGATTTCCTTGAGGTAATGTGCTCAAAGTTGATGAGTTACTCCTGCATTAAAATCCATGTTGGATAATCTTCTGAATGTTTATTATCCTTTGAATTATATCTGCACATAAACATCGTTCTTTTTTTATTTGGTTCAAGCTCGTTTATGGGGTTCGGATTGTCAAGCACCAGCGGGTTTAATTCCTAGTCCAGAACTTCAAGAATGGCATATGGCAAATAAGGCAGCTGAATTATCACATGAAATGGGTATTACACATTGTGGTGCATGGTTTAAACGTCGTAAACGTCATTTTAAAGATAAATACAAAAATAAACATTCAGCTATTTATGATCAATTAGATTTAGTTACTTATGAAGAAGTTGTCAGATTACCACAATTTCGTCGTAGAACATTAGTATTACTTGGTGCACATGGTGTTGGACGACGTCATATTAAAAATTGTTTAATTCAATCATCACCTGATAAATTTGCATATCCTATTCCTCGTGAGTTATAAATACATAATGATAGAAGTTAATCGTATTTTATAATTTTTCATAAGCTAATTGTTTACTGAATAAAATGATTGCGAACAACAATCCAATAATAATTATGGTGAAACTGTGGAAGATGTAGATTCCTTCACGTACCTGAGAAGCATCATCGATGAACAAGGAAGATCAGATGCTGACGTATAGGCAAGGATTGGCAAAGCAAGGGCCGCATCTCTACCATTGAAGAACATATGGAACTCAAAACAACTATCTATCAACCAATATCAAAGTGAGAACTTCCAAAACGAACGTCAAGGCAGTCCTACTGTACGGAGCTGAAACTTGAAAAACTACTACAACCATCATCAGGAATGTACGAGTATTTATAACCATCAACAGCAATGGCCTTCTGTGGGAGAGAACAAACCAGCTTCCAGCCGAGGAAACAATTAGGAAGAGGCGATGGAAATGGATAGGACATACATTGAGCAGACCACCAAACTGCATCACGAGACAAGCCCTAACTTGGAATCGTGAAAAGAAGTGGAAAAGAGGGAGGCCAAAGAATATGAAAAGGCTGAATAACAACTGGATAAACCTGGAAAGGACTGGATGGAGAGTGTTGTTTGTTGGCTTATGCTCCTCCACAAGGAGTAACAGGTTTAAGTAAGTAAGTAAGAACGTAGCCATAAAACTGTACTTTTTACTATGAAACTCTGAAAATACTTTCCACTGCTGATTGTTACTCTTTTTAAAATGTTCTATGTTAGAAAGGTTTCACCTCGAAAATTCATAGATTTATCACGAATTAATAGATTTGAGTGACAATGAAGATTCCGATTGATCAAGCTTTAATCGATTTATTCGCTTTATATCTTTCTGTCTATGAACTAATTCTTTCTCCCTGTCTCATATCGTGATACACAACCTTTCTTTTATATATCACTATCATTGATGTAACTGCTTCTATCAATTTGATGAGCATTTTGTTGTGCTAATGAGGTATGGCAACTTGGATCGATGCATATAAGTGCCTAATCCTACATTATACATGGCTAACTGTAATATTATAAACTTTGAGTGCAAGTGCATCCACTCCTTGTGTTCTCTCAAATTTTAATCTTCTGAATTCTTCATGTCCCTTTCTTTTTTTCTTTTTCCAAATTTATTTCACTGGATTATAGTGCTTGAGTAACATCTTCAAACGCGTATGTTTCCGATTACTGCTTATACGTTTACTACCTCTACCGCTATGTGATTTGGATCGAAAATTGTATCTTTGTGCTAATGTGGTATGGCAACTTGAACTGATGTACGTACGTACATAGCTCTACGTTGCTGCTGACTAACTGACTGCTTAACTCCTTAACAACATGGTTAATACTTCATATAGATATTGGAAAATTGTCATTTGTTTTTTTCGAAAAAGTCTCCAATAAAATATTTTCATATTTATTTTACAATTAGATACAACTCGTACACCACGTAAAGATGAAGTGAATGGAAAAAATTATTATTTTATTTCACATGATGAAATGATACGTGATATTGCTAATAATGAATACTTAGAATATGGTTCACATGAAGGAGCAATGTATGGTACAAAATTGGATACAATAAGACAAATACATGCAACTAGTTTAATTGCTATATTGGATGTTGAACCACAAGCATTGAAAATATTACGTACTGCTGAATTTGCTCCATGTATTGTATTATTGCAGCTCCAACTCTCACCAATATCACTAATGGACAGAATAATAATAACAATAATGGTAATGATAATGTGAGTTGCGTAATATCATTTTTACAAACGGATTTATAACTTTTTCAGTTATGCCTTCCTTCTTTAAAACTCAGCACTGAATTTTTAATGTTTTCATTAACGATCAATCTGTTCAGGATTCTTGGAATTTTTTTTGAGATCATGAATCGACCGATATTATACCACTATTGGTAGCGTGGAAGCATTGGGTGACCGTTTCTTCCTAGTATGGGTCACCTCAGTAATGCACATCCACCAAATCGCACACGAGATTTGAATTCAGAACCTTCGGTTTCACTCAAACATCGATCGGTTCATGATCACAAAATAAATTCAGCTGTCTCCATAAATGTATACTGATTTTTACTGATTAAAAATTGTAATGCTATTACACTGTAATTAGGCTCCAATTCATTTCATTCATTTCTATTTGGGTAATCTTTGACCTTTTGTGTAGACGAGGCTAGAGAGGTGGAATACTTAGAAATATTTGATTTATGTTTGAAGAAAAACGCTGAACATGCTTCCATATTGACAGCGATTATTTATTCACAATCGTGTTTGCCGGACAATCAAAATGACTGCGCAAATAGTGACATCATGTGGAATGAAAACAGTCTATTCAATGTAATATGGGCACAATAAGATTTTTGTTAATAGTGGAGGAATTCTGAAAGCCCATTATTTTAAAAAGTATAAACTGATAAGGATATTGTATAAAATGATGGTGCGAAATTTAAAGTTAAGCCACTTAAATCAAAAAGTGCACTAAAATCCCCATTGTAGTGAACGAGAACGATAAAGGGCACAACCGAATGTATTTGAGCAAAAAATTACAAAGCATCAAAATAAAATCTGAGAAGCATACATTAAATACTTTATTTGCGAAGTGTCAATCAATCGTCTCCGACTTGATTGTTCCTTCGTTTCCACACCAATCTTTTTTTGTTCTCGTCTTCATTCCTTTGATCTTCTTAACCTTCTACTGCCAGACATTTCACTTTTGATGGATGATACATACTACTGATATATGTTGACATCAGTAGCATACATCACATTATCATAAGCTACAAATCCATGTAATTATCTTATAAATATTAATTTACTTGGTATTGTTTAACTTGAATCTTACCATTGATGTTTAGGACTGAAATTGATCAGTCTCGTATTGGCATATGTGCATACTGTGCGTATTGCCTCGATATTGCTTTAATTTACAAGCATTATAAGCAAAGATGGATAGTGGCTAGCAGTGGAATCCAGGACGCGCGTTTTACAATGATAATAGAGATCATGAACCGAATGATGTTAGACCACCATTAAAAACTTTGAAGAACTGGACGGTCGTTTCGTCCTATTGTGGGACTCCTCAGCAGTACGCACCCAAGATCCCACTCGTGGGATTAGAAACAAGAGCCTTAAGTTTCTCACGCGAACATTTAACCTCAAAACTACCAAGTCAGAGATTATCCAGAACGACAAGATATTCAAGGATGCTCAGTAGTTAGATTATCCAACGAACAGGGCGAAATACCAGAATATATGGGCATTGTTAAAATAAGTATTTCTTGACTTGCATAAATCTATGATTTGACAGCACCGTTTAACTCAGTTCTCAAACAGTGAATACTAAGATTAAGATACATAAGCATATGACTGACAGCTATAAATTATTTCATTGAAATCCCATGTATAGTTACTGAAAAATAATCGGTCACGGCACTTAAGAAACTTTCCTACTGGTCTATCACTTTTGTATTGGTCTCTCAAATTCATAGAAGGTCACTCATGTGTATATTTAAATAAGTGGAGACTTCGTTGGTTTCAAAATTGACTTCATGGATTTTAAGCCACCAATACCGTAGTTGTAGTTGGTAGTTTAACAAAAACGCAAAGTATTCATAACTGAGGGCTGGAAATTTCAAGAGCTTATTAGAAATTATCATATGACAACTTTTAAACTTCTCAAAGTCATCTGTCACACTAAATGTAAAGATTTCCACACGCCGGTTCACAGCCACAGTTATGAGTTGCTAAGATACTGTTATTATTCGTAAATTACATCAGTTTTCGTATTGTGTGTTGTTATTAGAGAAATGTTTACAGAAATTAATTCAAGTCAACTGATCTAGTGATTTGGAACGTAATATGTACAACTACGGGAAGCAAACTTCATGAAAGCCGTCTTGGTTATTGTTGAATAATGTTGCCTAGTATTCCTAAGTACACTTATTTAGACCTGACTGTGAATATAACATCTGTTACTTTTTCAAATAGAATAAGTGGAATATGTCTAGCAGTGAAACCTAAAACTCTCGTCTCACTTGGGATTCGTCGGCCAAATATATCACTGACAGTTAAGCTATTGATTTTTGATTACTAGTGTTCTTTTCATATATACTATCGGCTACGATTGTGAACCATTCACAGACGTTAACCTAATATACTAGTCAGCAAAAACAGGGTACCAAGTGAACAATAAAATTCATCACCAGTTTTCAGTTTCAACAGGATTCCCGTTAAAATAATTTCTGGCAGGATTAGAAAATTATTTATCGCTTAATTTTATTGATAAGCTGTCTTTATATTGTAAACACATTAACGCATGCATTTTGAGTGTGAAAGAAGTTATTATCAATTTTCTACTAAGCGTGTTTGATATCTCTCATTTAAGAATCAAAATTACTTGTGAAAGACAAGAATATCACTGTAGTTCATCAGTTGATTTCCTACCAACAGAAAAATAAGAGGCAATGTTAGTCATACAGTGACAATAAAAGGAATACAGAACAAATTATAAAAGGTGGTTATCCCAAACAACGTATGTGGTTTTACAATTAAAATCATATTTGGAAATCATTTCAAACTTTTAATTAGGTAAAGGCTACATTTGACTGCTGTTTTAAAAGAAATAAGTGTTGAATAGCTAAAATAAGAAGAGATACAAGTAAATCAATATTTCAATTGACGCCATGTTTCATATAAACGCATGGTGCGTACTGCAAATACAAGTGAGGATTCAAGTTCGACTATCTCCATATTCATTTTTCGAATTAATTACTCACTCCGAAAATGCTAAATTGGCCAAACGACCCAAAAAGCTTTGATATACCACAGATGTTCGGCGCTCGTTAACGCTTTTATCTGCAACACCTTGGTAATTGAAGGATTTCAACCCAGTCAACTCAGAAGTCGGGGATGAATGTGTTTGCAGTGTGATTTTTCAGCTTGTCCTTATGTTAGGAAAAGGTTAATCTATGCTGGTTTGTGATTGCAAGGGTTGCGTAGCAAAGAACATCCACTGGTAATCCGGTGCACATGTTTGACTGAATGCCTTGAGCTAAAGTGCATCCAGTCAAACCGGTGAGGTCGTTATCAGTTTCAAACGCTTACAGCGCTATTTATCTTGAGATGGTGGATTCATTTTCCTCTACAAATTCACTGTTTATTTTCCAAGTGCGGTTTACTATAACCAAGTTAAAGATTAGATAAGCCTAGCGGAAATTTATCACTGTCGCATATGAAATATGCATTGCTAAACAAAGAGTTTTAATGAAGCTTTCAAGTCTTATCCATATCTAGTTATCAAGTATCTCAAGAGCAGTAGGCATAAAAATCCTTTGATCAAACTCACCTAAAACTGTATTCTCTTGCTATTTAATTTGCATTACAGTTATTACTAACTTTGCTTTTCATATTATCCGCTCAAACTTTTAATAGTTTACTCGTTTCATTACATTGCGCCCCACCAGATCGACAAATTTTCAAAATTCCGTGCACATATTTTTATGAATCTATCACACATTTCATCATCACTTTACGCAATAACTTGCCTACATGTATGTTCAATCTGTCAACAACAACAACAATGGGTTAAACGTTGTGCACAGATGGTTGTAGTTATAAAACTTGTTGGTAAATTACCGAAAAAATATATATTTCTTTATGCTATTTATCGAATCAATCACCATAAGGATTTGAGAGTCAAATTCAGGTCACTTATAATTTACTTAAACCGAAAACGCTGAAAATGACCTTGCTATGTAGTAAAAATACTAAAATTTCTCGAATATTGTATTCAAAATACATCAACTCAGCAAATGCAAAGTGGTCAAACACAATTTTATAGGGTACGAACAAAACAATTGATTTCATCCACACTACACGGTAAAGAAAGTTAAGAGGCGTCGATCATTCATACTAAACGCTTCTCTAAACACTGACTAACACCAATTACTTTACCATTTATTTTCACAGATAACTTTGTGATGCTCATTGTCGTTGTCCTGTTGAAAGCGGCATGCAGTGCGACGAGTGCAAAGGCTGGTACCACGAAGTTTGCACGAACTAAACGCCTGCTGCTTTCAAACGGTTCAGTAAGAAGGGTTGTGTATGGCTTTGTCAACAGTGCTGCTCGGATGCAAACAGCTTGTTAACTGAGGCCATCTCACTGGTTGATGCTGCAAAGAAGTGTTTTAGCAAGGATAGTCGGAACGCGTTGGAACTTGGTTTCGAGGGTTTTACGTTGGTGAGGGCCGACAGAACACAAAAGCGCAAAGGAGGGGGAGTAGCTCTATTCATTAGGAATGCTATCGCATTTGTCATTATCGATGGTGTATCCCATGAGAGTGGAACGCTTGAAATGCAAGGGGCACGAGCTGCTCATTGGTTTGGTCTATCGCAGTCCAAGCTGTAAAGCAAATGAGATCCTGTTAAGCAGTCTCAATACTTGGTCCCAAAGTGGTCGTTGTCTAATTCTAGGGGACTTCAATGCACCTATGGTAGACTGGGAAAATCTGCGAACTGAATCGTCAGAAAATTACTTCGAGCAGGAACTAATTGATATGGTTATCACATGTGCCTTATTGCAACGTGTGAAAGAAGCGGCAAGGTACGACCCGGACACTGAATCATCCTTATTAGATCTTATACTGACTCACTATGAGGATGATGTTGCGAACCTCCACCATATGCCACCCC